ATGGCATGAGAAGTTTGACAATGCTATGTTGTCAAATGGGTTTCGAATCAATGAGTGTGATAAGTGCGTATATGTTAAAGATACTGACAAAGGTTATGTCATTTTGTGTCTATACGTTGATGACATACTCATTGTTGGTAGCAATGATGAAATGATTAAAGCTACCAAAAGATTGTTAAACTCTAAGTTTGACATGAAGGATATGGGCCTTGCAGATGTCATTCTGGGTGTTAAGATCACCAGAACATCTGGTGGTATTGTACTTTCTTAAGCTCACTATATTAATAAGATACTTGAGAAATTTGGAAAGTCAGATACAAGTATGTTTAGGACACTGGTAGACTTAAGTCTATATTTGACCAAGAATAATAGTGCGAGTGTCTCTCAACTAGAATATTCTCGGGTCATTGGGAGTTTGATGTATCTGATGAGTTGTACAAGGCCGGATATCGCCTACGCTGTTAGTAGGCTGAGTAGATACACGAGCCAAGACAGGGTTCCGAGTTCTATGAAAGAAATAGATGATCACGAAGCGTTACACCCTGGATTATGGGCTGCATTATACCAGATACCCAGCGGTACTAGAAGGGTATAGTGACGCAAATTGGATATCTGATATAAAAGATTCCAAATCCACTAGTGGTTATGTGTTTACCCTCGGAGGGGCAGCCGTGTCTTGGAAATCTGCCAAGTAAACGTGTATCTCGAGATCAACGATGGAATCTGAGTTTATTGCTTTAGATAAAGCAACTGAAGAAGTTGAATGGCTTCGTCAGTTTGTTGAGGATATTCCACGTTGGCCGAAACCTGTGCCAGCTATCAGTATTCATTGCGATCGCCAATCAGCGATTGGTCGGGCACAGAGTAATATGTATAATGGAAAGTCTAGACATATCCGTCGTAGACATAATTCCATACGACAACTACTCTCAAATGGAGTTGTCTCTCTAGACTATGTCAAGTCTAAGGACAACATTGCGGATCCGCTAACCAAAGGGTTAACTCGAGAGTTAGCAGAAAAGTCATCAAGAGGAATGGGGTTAAGGCCTTTAGTAAAGGTTACCAGAACGGAAAACCCAACCTAGTTGACTGGAGATCCCAAGATCTAGGTTCAAAGGGACAACCTAACTTCGTGTAACGGGTGAGTCACTGAAGAGGTAAATCCTCTTACCCATTCCTTTATACAGTGATGCCCTGTGGGGGTGGAAGGTTAAGTTAATGCTTTTAATGACCTTAGTGATGTGGTATAATAAAATACCGTATCTAGGTCACCTATGTAAGTGCGAAGTCGGGCCGCTTCTTTAAGAATTGCCAAGGCCGAATTCTTTAAAAACACTCACAGAACCAGGCTAGTGTTCCAGGGCCATACCAGACACACCAGTGAGAAAAAGAAATATGAATGGACTAACTCCTGTATGAGGTCTATTGTCTCGGTTTACATAAACGACAGAACAGTTCAAGACATTACGTTCACTGGTCAGCCAGTAAATCCGATAGGCTTTCACTACGAAAGGTTCAAGGCTAACAGCTACCTTTTCTGATGCAGGGTTAGTCTATGTGCTCTCTCTCTTTCCGAGTCTTTGTTGATAAACGTTGAGCGTTTACTGTATTCGGTCAATTTTTATTCATGTGGGGGATTGTTGGAGAAAAATGGTTGAATAAGAAATTGCCTCATAAATGTGTATATAACTCACACATTTAAGGCTCATCAGTTTTACAAAATTGATTGGGCAGTTTTGCTAGCATTAGTTGCCAGCCTTGATGGCTAGAGGCTCTTCCACTCTCCCCCATGGTGTATAAAAGGACGCCTTATTCCTTGAAAAGAGATATAGAATTTTTCCTTGACATCCATACACTGTTAGTCTACTTCTCCTATAATTTTCTTCATGAGAGAGAGTGCTGCCGTTGTCCGTTTGCTAAGCTAATCAGAAGGTGCTTCTGTTGTAGCTGGTAAAAACTGTCGTATCCTGGGAAGTAGACGCCGGCGTACCTCCAGCATCCAACGGTGAGGCGGCGAATCTATTTTAAGGAGGCTGTGGTATCACACAGGTTTCGGTTTGCTTCCTTTAACCATTTTATATTTTATCTGTATTTTATTCAGCATGTTATTTTTCCTGGGATTGAAGGTTTGTTTTGTTCATCTCATAATTTTGCGATATGCAATGTGAAATTATGTAATGTGAGTTGTTTTTCCCAACATAAACTTAGAGAGTAAAGCAAACAATGAAAAAACTAGGGTTTATTATTATTATTTTTAACTCAAACGGTGTATATTAATATTTTTTTTGTTCTTAAAAGATGTGTACAGAGAATTTTTTTACATAATATTATAGGTGTTGTTGAATGTCTATTATGGGATTATAATTGTTATTTGGAATATAATTGTTATTAAATTAATACTTCATTAAGTGTGTGCCTTGAGCTAATTAGGTGTGTGAAAATAGAATTTCTTTGACCTTATGCACAGTGTTGCTGAAGTGAACCAATCATTGCACAAACAGAGTTAGACCACCTCTGCGAAGCACCATGATTCAAGGGCGGAAGGAAGAAGTGTTGGTGGGTTCTGCCCCTGCAAAATTTATAGAAATCTTATACATTAGATATATTTTTAGGATAAATTATCAATACATCTTAACATTTGGACTTAATTCCCATCAAGTCTTATTGAGCAGAAGTCCTAATAAAATCGTCGCTAAAAATAAATTTTTTTTGACGATTTTTTACATATGTTACTAAAAATTGATAATTACCGACTTTTTTTTTTGTTACAGTTTTCATAAATTGTGGCTAAAACTTATAATTAGTGACATTTTTTCTATGATAATTTTTTCAAACTGTCACTAAAAGTTGTAAATTAGTGACATTTTTTTGTGACGATTTTTTTAAATTGTCTTTAAAACTTATAATTAATAATATTTTTTGTGACAAATTTTTAAACTGTCGCTGAAAATTAACAATTTGTGACTTTTTTTAATAATATTTAATAAAAAAATATCATTAATTATTATAAAACTTGTTAAATAATAAGTTTACTTACAGCTCGTTTGGAAAGAAAAAGCCCTACGTTTTTTGGCTAAAGTAGTCACAAAAAAAATAAAATATATTTTTTAGTTCAATAAGACAAAACATTATATCCAATTCATAATTATTACAATTTTCTTTTTACAAAAATTAAAAAAAATCAAAAAAATTTATCTCAAACAAAACTTTTTAATCTCATACTAAAATAACTAAAAAATCAAAAAATTAAAAAGTGAACATCTCAATATGTAACTTTCCTGTTTTCAATTTTACCCCTCATGGGTCAAAATGTGTTGCATAGGTGAAGTTGTAAATATTTTAAATAAATAGGGATAGTTTGGTCATTTTATTATGATTTGACATCATAAACAAATATTAATAAAAAAAGTCAAAAAGTCACTTTTTACCAACTTCCCAAATCATTTGTCTAAAAAAACCAAAAACTTGATTAAAAGTCAAAAAATTACTTTTTACTATCTTCCCAAAATAAGCCTATATAACCTCTAACAGGTGGCTCCCTTGGTGTTTCTTTACCATTTGTCTTTTGCCTTTTCTTCTATTTTGAAAGATGGAGGTCCCACCACCTCATTCATCTAAAGAATAAATATTTGCTAACAAATAATAAAAAAAATAAAAAACACTGAAGTTGGTGAACTTTTATTATCTGAAGCATCGTTCAACACAATTTTGATAGAAAATTATGTGCTTTTTGTTAGTTTTAGTGAAGGAGATAATTCATTTTGTAACACACTTTTTGTTATAGAATAATATTAGTATAAAAAATTTTAATCCTTGCTGCTTCAAAAATAGTTATAGTTAGTGAATATTTTTTTATTATTTATTATTATTTAAGGCAACATTTATATTATTAATTTGGCCCTTCCAATTAAGAAATCCTACTTCCGGCCCTGTTATAGTTGGATCATTGCACACACAGTTATAATATGCCACAATGTCGCACGCCATCTTTAGCATATGCCATCGTAAAGCGAATCAGATCATCATCTATCACTATCGTCAATCACCAACCCTTGAGCCCACTACCATCCTCTCCATCGTTATCTTTCTCTCGTTAATTTCTTTTCAATTTCAATAGCAGCACCCCAGTTGTAAGTCACCTCTATAACTCCCAACTAGTGTTACTCACCTCTTCAATTTTATTATTTTCAATTTTTTTTTCCTTTTTGTTCTACTTTGTTCAAACCTATTACAAATTCATTGGCATACCAAAATCAATTGTGTATATAGAGAGGTTGTATATTCTCTCTAGACGGTGTTGTTGGGCCTATGAGATTCACCACGGGTTCCATTTTGATGATTTAAATATTTTAATGTGTAAAACTCGTTGAGCACTTTATTTCTATAAAAAAATCACATTCATTGAATATTAATAAGCACTTATTTTTGAATTTTGAATAATTGAGGGAATGATGAGAAAGAGAAAAAGAGAGTAAGTTTGTATATTTATTTTGAAATTTGATATTAGAGTGTAATTTTAATTTTTTTTGTTTCAAATGTGATAGTAGAGAGGAAATTGATATGATTTTAAAAATTTTAAAGATAAAGTTAAAATTATTTGAAACCTAAACATATATTCTAGACAAAATATAAGGATAAAAATGAAAATTTGTCTAAAATTTAAGGTTGGTTTGACATAAATTAAATAATACAAAAAGTCAAAAAGTCATTATCCTATTTAAGTCACATCATCTTATTTAAATCATATCACCTCTCTAACACATCACATCAAACCCAATCCAAACCCAACCCATATAATCCAATAAGTCAAAAAGTGTACTTTTTTAAAACATCTCAAACCAACCCTTAACCACCTATGTGTTTCGTTAGGAATTTGAGAAGGGATTTGAAAAAAAAAAATAAAAAAAATATACTTATATTTCACATAATTTCACATAATTTTTTTTTTGTTTTTTTTGTTTTCCTTTTCAAATATCTCTCTAAATCCGCAAGCACCTAATCGCCAACCAAACAGAACGTAAAAGTTATGTTTGAACGTATAACAAATCGAAGGAGAACCAAAATGAGAATCCGGCGACTTGTACATGGTTAGATTTTGATGAGAACCAAAACGAGAACCTCTTCGGGGTGACACGGACATCGAACAAATCGGGTACATAGTTGTCTGATACGAAAAAGATGTATAAACCGAATCATTGATGACAGATCTATATCCCCCCCAAACCCAATTCACACCCCAAATATGAACAAGAAAGGTTTGGCCATTTTGATGAGAACCAAGATGAGACCTCTCTCCCCTTCTTCTTCATCTCCATCTGTATCTGCAACTGTATGTACTCTCTCTCTCTACACACACACACACACACCTCTGCTATTTGTTTAATTGATTTCGAATATTACTTGATCCACTCAGAACAATCTACAATGATTTCGTCTTCCGAAGAGGTTAATTAAATACCATTGATAGTAATTTTCAGCTCTAAAGTTAGGAACTCTCATAGAACTATAAACATGGTCTGCCTATATATGTGTGTATGCATATATCTATACTAGAGGTTGTACACACCCACTTAAAATTTCCATTGTGGGTTAAAATTGGTCATTATAGATTGAGTGGGTAGTTTCAGAAAACTTGTGCTTCAATTCTTAATCACACAAAGGTAATTTGGGAATAAAATTATGTAACACAAAGTGTCAATACCAACGTAGGCCTTTACATGTATGATAGAATAAATCGATAGATAGATAGATAATAGAATATATATATATTAGTGGTGGGTGCAAATGCATTTGTAATTTTGCATTTAAATTTTTTGGATAATTTGATGATTGAGGGTGGTTTGATGAATAAGAAAACCTATATATATTTATTGGATGTGGCATTTATTGGATTAATAGATTTGAAGAGCATTCTTGAAAAAAGAAAAGAAAATTAGGCGACAATATTCACACCAAATGAGGTGTACGATTTATATAATAGAATAGATATGCATAATAAAATGAAGCAAATTCAGCTTTAAATATAATTTGTGTATTGATTGTAAGTTTCTGAATTTATTTCAACAGAACAAGATTAATCAATTGCAGCTTTCTCCTGGGGAAGGAAACAAATCACCTGCTCTGAAAATCAACACTGAGAGGTTATTCTCTCTCTCTCTCTCTCTATATATATATATATCTATATAATATGCTATGACTAAGCATTAATTGTTCAGAATATTGCATTTCCATGTTTTAATGTTTATGTTCATACCAACAAGTGCATTACAGAGAATTTGAAGTTGTGAGAGAGTCGATGAACTCAGCCATATCAATGAACAAAACGGAAGTTCTAGATGTCGTACTAAATGATTTCTCAGAGGTAAATTATTGCTAATGTGTGAGCTCATGTTAGTTTCTGCTACTTTGTCAGTAATAGTAATCCATTTGATAATGTAGGGTTATTTTAGCCTTTCAAGCGAAAACCGCCGAAAATTGCTCCTTATACTTGCTAGAGAATATGATCTTAATAGGGCACAACTTCACGAGTTGATTAGGCAATATCTTGGGCTTGAGATACCCCAAGGTGAGTTTGGTTTTGATACTTGAAACCATATACATGTTAGGAAAATGCTAAACATACAGAATTTTCATACAAAAAAAGTCATACAGAATGATGTGGCAATGGCATTTATGCAATTGTGACCCATAATGGTGGGCTTTTTGACTACCAATGAATGACTATAAATGAGCCACATCATTCTATATAAAATTTTTGTATATAAATTTTGTACAAATTGCAAGGGATTTTTTCTGAATGTTTTTAGTTTTAGGTGACAAAGCTGAACCTACTAGCCATGAAGAGGAAGGCCGGCTTGCTGCTTTCTACAGGGTTGAGAGGAATTTGAGACATGCTCTAAAGCCAATGTATGAAGTTTTATTTGAACGTCTCAACACACACCCTGGAGGGTTGAAGTTCTTGTCCATTATTCGAGCGGATACTCTATCTATTCTCGAGTAAGGTTATCATCCATAATATATTTTCATTTTAATTGATCTATTTTATAGTTGAACTGTTTCTTAAATAAAAATTACAGAGACATGGGAGTAATACTTTTGACGGATTTAACTATCTAACCATTGTAGCTTGACTGCTGTGACAAGTTCCACTATCCTAAAGCAATCTTTGGCATGTTGGAACTTTTAATATCACAGAATATTTTTTTTGTCAAGATCATTTTTACTTCAAAAAAAAATTGTGATGCATCTTAGTTGGGGTTTGTCTATTGAATTATCGTAACTAATAGGTACAATGTGTGAACTCTCACAAGTTCACCGATATGTAACTTTGGCCATGTTTGGTTTGTATTTGTGAAACGATTTTGAAAAATAATTTTTTGGAAAGAGTTTACAAAGTTTGAAAATTTGTTTGGTTGTATGTTTTGAAAATAGTTTTGGAGTTTGAGATGATTTAATTTTTTTTGTAGTTGAATAGATAGGTGTGAGAGAAAAAGTGATTGATTGCTGTGTAGTATGTAAGAGGAGAGAGGAGAGAGAAAAAATGATTGATTGATGTGTAGTGGAGAGAAAAGTGATTTTGGTTTTTCTTTTTCAAAAATTTTCTACCAAACAAAATTTTGAAATTTTTTCTTAAAAATTGTTTCTCAAGAGACAAACCAAACAAGGCCTTTATTTTTTTTGTATTTTAAAATTTATCTGACTGTTGATAGTAATTGTATGTGGTTCTTTCCTAAAGCGCACAGCCCTTTCCTCTCCAAACTTGTAGGCAGGGATGTTTCTGAAAGCACAGTTGAACACAATCAAATAAAGCTGTGGCCACTTGTCTATAGGTTAATAATTTCTTAATTTTAGTACTTGTGTTAATTCATGCTCGCCCTCATCATTTTTAGTTCATAACTTTACTGGAAGCTAAAGCAAATTAGTATGCCAAGAAATACATTCTATTATGAAGTGATGCATTTGTGGATGAGGTTAGGGCCCTAGGGGACAAAATTTAGGCAAGCTAGCTTGTAACTTAATCTCCATCAATTTCTTTTAAATGAAAGAAATTAGTGAAGCAGAAACACTATAAAGTTTTTGAGGTTTAAAAGTTAGTTGTATGTACGAGCAAGAAAAGAGGTATTGGAAGGCATATTTCATTGGACATTGGCATGGGATGCGGACATGACACAGGAATGGCAATGAGATATACCATTATATGTAAACCACTGGCCTGATTAGAAATTTTGAAATGGATGGTTGAGCATCGGTTGTGGCTCACTCATTGTTGATAGACTATCAACAACTTTGGGCTCTTTTGGCAAATCTAGATTGTTCGGACCAGGACACACCAATACCCTAGGGTTTTAAGTATTGGAAACACTTCCGTTTCAAATTAGTGAATTTAATGAGCCCAAGAGATCCAAAGTTTTTTCCTATTTAGTTCCTTAACATTTTCCTTTGGAGAGAAAAATTCAATTATAATGAATTAAAATATAGAGAAATGGATTTTTAGAAGGACAAATGGTAAAAATGGCCATAAGGGTTCAACAAATGTGTTTTTATATGATTAATTGGAGGAATAATAGACTATGTTTCATTGGATGTTTAATAGTTAACAAAAAATTGCTCTCACATTTAGAAGTACTTTAATACATTCTAATAGTGTGATTTACTTAAGTCTACTCTCATCGTACCACATTCTAGAGCATATGGCTTGCAACATTTCCTTTTGTGTTCTCATTTCTTGTACTGGAACGATTTATGTTCTTGGTGATATTGGTTCATACAACATTATTGGCCTAGTGTTAGGAGATATTAAGTTCTATTAGAAATGAACTTGTGTTGTAATGTAATTAAAGTACCTAGATACCATGTACAAGAAGCTTTATTTAAGGTGTGATTGTCCTCCAAAAGTACATAACAGCACGTTTAACAGAATGCCTTTTTAATTTATATATGTTTTTCTTTACTACTCTTAGAGAAGGTCTTCTATTTCCCTGCAGAAAAAAAAGGATAAATATTTATATGTACACAGATACAAACCAACTGTTGTGTTTACTCCTCTCTTGCCTTACTCCAAATTTCTTCATGCATGTCACACTTGCTTTTAAATATGCGCAAACTATGCTAAAAAATTTCTTCCTTTAAAGTTCTATGCAAAAAATAATATTTCTTTTCCTATGAAAACAGAAATTGTATTGTTATAGTTATACCGGCTCTTTTCCCATACAAATAGAAATTGTATTTTGTCATCTAAAACTTGTTGGTCAAGTGCCAGGGTGTTTTCCAAGAAACGTTGACATGGTGTCCAAAATTACAAATTTTGCTTTTAAAATCATGAAATGAAAACATCTAAATGTCTTTGACATGAATCCCATAGCATGCTTAAAGTGTCAGTGCCTAACATAGGAAAGGCTGTTCTTTCAGAAGTATCTGATGCTGATAAACTGAGGTTTTGAGGTTAGAAAGGCCATTGATAGTAGGGAGTTAGGCCCTGGTGGTTGCTTAGAAGGTGTGCAACTAGAGATCTCATTTTAGGTTCTTCCAATTCTAATATGACAAAGTAACAGAGACATTTGCATCAATTTTTGTACTCTATGTTCTTTCTCTTTCTGAAATATAAAAATTGATGGTTGAAATATATTTTTCTAGTCGCATTGGTGGTGCCTTCTCTTGATGAAAATTCAACGACATATCACAGTTGCGATGACTTCTTTCTTAGTATCTTGGACAGTTTATTTGATGCAAATTTGTAAGATAGGACAAGAAGAATAGATTGATGGTTGAAACATATTTCCCTGCTTCCGTTCTTGGTGGATTTTATTGTTAAAATCCACCTACTCTCCACCTACTTCACCCACTTAAACCTACTCCACTAAACCTAACCCACTACACCACTACCACCTCACCTACTCCACTAAACCCACTACACCACTACCACCTCCACTTCACCTACTCCTTACCTACTACACACTAGTTGAAAAAAGAAAGTAGACAGCAAAACGACCGAAGTTGCTTACCAGAATCATGGATTTTGTCGTTGATCGGATGGCCTTTAGTTCGGTATTCAGTTGTTTTTGGTGATGCTCCATGTCTTTGGGGAGGCATACACCCTTGGCCAGATTGAGGGCCAACAAGTGGTCTTTTTCAGCAACAACCGAATCTGTATCTCGGATGTCTCGGTCGTTGAAAGTAAGTTTT